ACTACAGTAGCTGCTTCAAGACAATCACCATCGTGCCAGTACAAAAAAAAAATCAGCAGCCACATGCCTGAACGACTACCGCCGTATTGCACTCACCCCCATCGTAATGAAGTGCTTTAAAAAACTTATTCCACACATTAAAGCCAGCATTCCCAAAACACTCGATCCTCTCCAGTTTCCCTATCTCACAAACTATTTCACGGAGGATGCAGTCTCTATAGCTTTACGCACCACACTAACCCACCTGGATAAAAGGAACACCTACAGTATACAAGAATGCTGTACATTGACTTTAGCTCAGTATTGGTAACACCATCATACCCATAAAACTTGCTACCAAACCCGGTGCTCTAGGTCTAGATACCACCCTCTGTAGACTTCTTCACCAGCAGACCCCAAACTGTCAGGATTGGCAACCTCACCTCAAACACGTTTACCCTTAACCCATAAGGGCTGTGTGCTCAGCCCACTCCTTTACTCCCTGTTCACCCACGACTGTACTGCCAGGGACTGTGGTGGAGATGGTGAATAACTTAAAATTCCTAGGTTTGGCAACTGCACTGCATCCGACCGTAAGGCACTACAGCGGGTGGTCAAAACTGCCCAACACATCATCGGCAGTGCCTTACCACCCATCCAGGAAATCTACACCAGAATCTACACCAGAGGTTTGAAAAAAGCCACCAAAATTATGTCTGACCCCACTCACCCCAGTCATAACTTGTTTGTTCCCCTACCATCTGGTAGAAGGTTCCGGATGCTCCAGTCACACACAACTAGACTCGAAAATAGCTTCTTCCCCAGAGCCGTCAAGCTGGTGACGCCCCCACTCTCTCCCATCATACTATGATCTCTCCTCACTTCTTCCTGTACCCACAATGACCGTACTCCAACACCACTACATACACGACAACTGAATAGAAGCCGAAATTGTACTTAACACTTTACTAGTTGTACTATTTATTAATCGCTGTATTATTTTTGCACTGTTTTGTCCTGTTTGCATACTTTTCTCAGTTTGCATATTTGCACAGTTTTTGACAACTTTGCACTGGCAACATACTGTTGTTTACACTGTTAGTGTTATTGTATTACTTTCTATTGTCTTGTCCTCCCTGCACCTGAGAGATTAATGGGAAACACTTTTCACTATTCTATGCACCCATGTAAGCAAAATGACAAATAAAGTTGAATTTAATTGAATTTACATGAACCCATCACACTAGCCAGATCATACACTATATGCTGTTGTATTTTTATTACTCCCGATTGATATTGGTACAGGCTGAGGCACAGTAGGTGACAATGGAGGGGTCTCTAAGAATTTAGACACCAAACTAGTGTCAATATTTCCACTTCCTCGAGCTTCAAACCAAGTGGTGTTTACTTGTTTATGGTCAGTGATGGAAACACTGATCAAAATAAGCTTCTGCTTTACCTTAGCTAATTAAGTTCTGGGTAATTTAAAATGTAAGTTAATTGTAGATTAAAAGTGTCAAAAGTGTAGGATAAAAGACAGAGGACAGAACAACAGAAAGAGGGGAAAGGGGAGACCACCAGAGAGAGAGGAGACGGAAAAACACAGAACACAAAGCGTGTGCCAAAAAGACCTTCTTGGAGCTAAGAATCTGAACCTTGTTAAGAGAACTGGCTATTCTGTAGTTTTTCCTGAGTGACAAATCCTACGGTTAAAATAGCCTCTCCTGGTGAGTGGGTGAATTTTAGAACAGACGGTTAGGCTCCCATTTATTTTGTGGCATCCGGATTAGAGAGAGAGGTTTAATCATAAATTGCATTCTTTTTAGTTTCCAAGAGCTTTTTTTCCCCCCCAACGGTTTTTGTAACGAACAGTTCTTTCCGGACCCCATGCGGATGACACAATCCGAGGAAGTGGGAAAACACCAGGAAAAAGACATGTAGGAATACGGGACTGAAAACAGGGGGCGTGTCCAAAGTGCGCTGGTGCACGGGGGGGGTGTGTGGCCGAGGCAAACAATCCAAAAAGTAATCCAAAGAGGGAATCCAAAAACGCAAGAAAGTCCATAGCCAGGAGATCTATCCAAACAAGGAATTAAAAACACGAACCGGGTCGGAACCGGCGGACCAGGACCGGGCGCTTCCAGGTCCCGGACTCGCACGGTGCGGAAACCCGATGCAGAGCCAGGATGAACGTCAGCGCCTGGCTTTTAAGGTGGGCTGGAAAAAGGGGTCAGGTGCAAAGAAATAAGTCTGAAGTGAAAGGGCTGGAGCACCCTTAAGGAGGAGGGACTATAATCGTGACAGTTTTGATTGTTTTAGACTCATTGTTTTTGCTTTGTGGAACCTTTTCAAATCTGATTAAAACCCCACCTAGTGTCAAGGTTAGCATTTCCACACTCCTTAGACATTTTTTAGGCTAAGTGCTGGATTTTGAGTCCCTTTAGAACGAGTGATAATTTGCTCCAATCTGAAACTTTTTTTTCTGAGACTTTTGCCTGCCTTTGTTGTACAATATATTGCAGCGCTTAGAAATTGTATTTGAAAACTAAGTCTGATTCAAAGTTGTAAGAGCACCTGTTCTGCTGTAGACCATCAGTTTCAAAGACCTTTTTTCAATCGTTTGATTGTTTTAGACTCATACCTTTTGGTTTGAGGAACATTTGAAAATCTCATGACTAGAGGGCTTTAGAGACATATTTCAGGACTGCTCTTGTAGCGAATTTGGGTTCTTTGGGGTTTCTGCCCTTGCCGCTCCTGCCCCAGTTCGTCCCCTGCCTCAGGATTGAACCGGAGACTCCAGCGTCACTCAACAGGGATATTGCCCGCTGAGCTACAGAAGGCCTTTGTCAGTCTGGGCGGCCAACATCCCTGTTATGTCCAGGGGAGTAGAGGACAGTGCCGTCACCATGGTGCAACCAGCTCCTACAACCTGTACAGTATGTCGGCCGTTCGTTACACTCTGTTGAAGCCCCAGCAAGGGTGAGCATTAGTATTCCTACACTACTTAGACAGTTTTTACACTCATTGCTGGATTTTGAGTCCCAAGGGAACATTAGGACAAGTGATAATTTGCTCCAATCTATAACTTTTGATTTCAGAGACTCTTGGCTATCTTTATTGTATATTACAGTGCTCAGGAATTGTATTTGAAAACTGTGTCAGATAAAAAGTTGTAAGAAAACCTGTTCTACTGAAGACCATCAGTTTCCAAGAGCTTTTTATTTGTTTTGATTGTTTTAGACTCATACTGTACTTTTTGGTTTGAAGAACATTTGCAAATCTAATTCCTGGAGGGCTTCATATACAGATTGCAGGAATGCTCTGTTGACACCCCACGTAGAGTTAGGGTTAGCATTTCCACACTCCTTAGACATGTTTTATGCTCAGTGCTGGAGTTTGGGTCCCAAGGGAACATAAGGACAAAATTGATTATTTGCTCTTATTTGAAACTTATTTTTTGAGACTTTTGGCCACCTTTGTTGTACGTATATTGCAGCACTCAGGAAGTGTATCCGAACACTGAGTCAGATCAAAAGTTATAAGATAACCTGTTCTACTGAAGACCATAAACTTCTTAGAGCTTTTTTTAAAGGTTTTGTTTTAGACTTTTTGGTTTGACTCCAAAAAGCTGTGACTGCCCTGTCTTTCTCACACCTGAAGAAGGCTCCACGGCCGAAAGGTTGTGTTTTCTTTCTTCTCTTTTCAGCATGGCTCTGTCCTCTTGCTATTGTATACTGTATCAGGAAAATAAAGTATATGCCCAGCAAGGGGGGTGTAATGTCTTGTCTGTTTATCAAACATAATCTACAATTATGGACAACCATTTTTGCCATGGTTGTGAATATTATAATACTGTACCTCTGAAGTCACATCCAATCTTCCTGTAAAATTAAAAAAACACAGAAATACAAGCGGGCACTGATTTATGTCCAGGATACTCCAATGCCCCAGAAAGTGCCCATTCTCCCCCTTTGAGCCACTGCCCACCAAAAGGTCTCTCTGCACGTCTCTGCGCCGTGCACATGTCCAAATTCTGTCCTTGTCCAAAACTTTTACAGTTTGGGTGGCGCTGTGCACCACGCGGTACTTGTGTCCCGAGTCGTTCGGATCAAAAGTTGTCATCAAGCATTTATGAATCTCACTTAATTGCAAGAGCTTTGATAAACAGTCTTGTTTCCCACTCAAACCTTAGGTTTGGAGAATATTTCAAAATCTGATGCCCAGAGAGGCTCAGATATCGATCGCGGAAATGCTCTGTTGACACCCCAGGTAGGATTAGGGTTAGGATTCACACACTACTTAGACAATTTTGAAGCTCAGCGCTGGATGTTTGGGCCAAAGTCAGGTTTAGGATGGGTAGTTTTGTAGTCCTATCTGAAATTTTTTTTTTCAGAAACTTTCTGGGGCCTGGGTGGCACAATTCACCATGTGGTACTTTTATCCCGAAACTGAGTCAGTCGGATCAAAAGTTGTCACCAAGCATTATTGAATCTCATTTAATTGCAAGAGATTTGATCAACGGTCTTGATTGTATCTTTAGGTTTGGGGAATATTTAGAAATCCTCTAATTTAAGTACAAGTGTATTATTAGTGGATCCCATAAGTCATTCTCTTGATTGCATTTATAAAGTTTATACTGCATATGTCATATACACTGTATCAATTAGACTACAAATATAAATTTGAAACTGTATCATGTTGCGATCTGTCAGACATTCATGCTTTATGAACTTTTGCCTGAAAGAGTGAAAGAGTGAGCTAATGTTACATTACATTCCCACTTGTGTTTGATCCCAACCAGAAATGGCTATATGAATAGTCAGAGTAGCAAATTTTCATTTTTGTGTATAAATAACTTAAAAGCCATAGGGTAAAAGGTGACCCAGATTTAGCAATAACTCAGTTTTGCAGAATGGAGATTTCCTGTTTGGCTATAATAGAAAAATGAATATGCTTTCTCCGTTAAAATACAAAAGACGAAAATAATGTGATGCAGCACATTCCACAACACACACACACACTTTACTAAGCTGTTTCTTTTATTGAGTTTTATATGAGATATTATAGACTTTATTTCATTTCAAACTGCCATACTGTGCCATCAACCTCTGCGACATCAACTGCAAGCAGCAGTAAAATATTATTTACCAAAACAACTAAACATGTTGCTCAGATTTTTAAATGTTAAATTAAAATTCACATAAAGAAAGACCACATGCTTAATACAGAATTGTGAAATCACTGTAATGTCCCCCAGGAACTATGTAATACAGCTGCAAGAGCAATAGGCTGTAAATCATTTGCATCTGATAAAATGCTTTTTAAGTAAATTATTATGGTACACAGTGCACCCTCCAACGTAGAAAGAGCAAATACATTACAACAATAACAATGATGCTAGTTTTGTGTGTTTAATATAAGCGCTTATTATTGTAGTACAGTAAATACTGTAGCAGTACTTTGTCGCTGTGCTCTCACCATTTGAACATTTGCAGTTGGAAAAAATTGGAAAACTAAAAGAACTTGTTCACATAATGGAGAGCAGATCCAGACATCTCTCAAGAAACAGTGCAATGAGATCTTTGGACCAATTAAGACCTTCCAAAGTGTCTAGATGGACCAAATTACCTCTACTCTTTTGTAATCATATTGCTACGTATGTTCAAAAGGTAGCTGGTACTGTATTTAACATACATACAATTATTTTCCAAATCAACATCTGTAAAAATCATCTTCATTATTTTTAAGAAGCTGTAAATAATATGGCTTTATAAAAGTAATTAAAAACATTTTTAAATATTTAACTGTGTTAGAGAGGTTCTTCACCCAAATCCAAAATGGAGGCCAAATGATTCCACCTCTTCATTATCATGGAAAGGGTGGAACATGGTCCGCCATGTTTTAAAACTCTACTATGTTCTATTTTAGAGAACTACAATTTTTTAAATTCCTTAGATTTGATTAAAAATCCAAAATGGTGGTAAAGTCGTTTAATCTGCCAGCAGAACTTTGACTCTGATGTAACGTCCCATAATTTTACAGTCTAGGGGGTTTGGCATTTCACAGCAATTTTAAAAGTGGCAGAGGCAAAAATAAAAAGGACTTGCCACAGTTCCCAAATATAACATTTAGTTTATGCACAGGTCTGAGGTGTTGTTGTACATTTCGGTAACACAGCAGTAAGTTAGCTGTCAACAGAAAGGAGACATTCAGGAAAAGAGAGGAAAATGAGTTAAGACACGGGCTCAGCCGACTGAAGACAGTTTTCACACCTCTTTAAAAATAGCATCTCTTAGAGTATGGTGAATTGAAGTCACAAGCCTAAATCATATTTAACCCTTGAATTGAATTATTTTATGTATAAGGCTCATCAGCCTGCTCACTGGAGAGCATCTCAAAGCCTTTGTTTTGAACTGTGAACATCAAGTTTATGAAAACAGAATGTGAATGTAAAAAATTGAAAATTGTGAAGTACTGCATATCTGGCAAAAATAGCAAGTCTTATTAATGTCTGATGAGTGTAGGGAGAGGATTTGATTTTCATACTTCTCTTAAAGAATATGAACTAAATAAAGAAGTATGAAAGTATGTTAAGAGTACTTATCTTAACTCTGTAAACTACAAATACAAATTTAAAATGAGCCTTACATCACTATATAATTTTACAGTTATGGGGTCTGTCATTTCCTAAGAAAAATGAAATGACAAATCACAAATTTAAAAAATATAATCTAATTTACTTTTGGCATGGTTTTCAATTTTCCCCACTATCCAAAAACCAGAGGTACGAGATCAATGATCAATGAATTTAGAAGCAGTAGCACAGTGCTCTCGTTCAAAACAATTCATGCATTGCACTGCAAAAACACTGAAACAAAAGACAACCCAAATAATGAGAAACATGACACACATTGTTCTACACAGTTTATAAAAAAAAATATCTAAATACTTAAATCATTCATTACGAAACAAAACACTTAAATCAATTCAATTTGAATTTAAGAAACTCTCACCGAACAGGAAATTATAACATTTCACAATTTTAATTATGTTTGGCCAGCATGGGAATCTTGAAAGATTACCGTTTTGTAAAACTTAACATTAAACACCTACTGACCAACAAAACTGAATTTACTGTGCATATTAGTGGTTTCCTTTCTGTCTCGATCATTTGTCTGATACATAAAATGAACGCATAACCAATAAAATGAGAGAGGCATTTTCAGTTTATACATTCTTGCCAGTTTCCCTGTTTCATATGAGCCACTTCTCTCTTTCTTTAGTGAATCTTTCAGCCCATTTGCGGGTAATATCTAAATATATACTTGGTTTATGAGGCAGGTAGTCCTGATAAGTGTTCAGAGCAGATGTTTTTGGCACTGCTTTCTCGATTTGAGTTCCTTCATGCCACTCGTTAAAAGAAGTTATAGAAACAATATCTGTCCTTGCTTCCAAGGCAGCACTTAATGCTGTTTCGTAGTATTTTCCATTGATGCGGTGTCGTGTGTTGTGGAAGTTCCACGGTCTGATACTTGTGTCAATATAACCAGGCCCAACACTCGGAATGAACATCAGATTTTTGCTGTCACAGAACCTTTTTATGGATTTCCAATTACGATGTGATGAACCATAGGAGAATCCATTTGTGGCAAAATACGTGTACATGCCATCAAACCCAGCTGTCAAGATGCCTGTCTTGTGCTTCTCTTCCACAAGGAGACCAATAAAAATGCCGTCATATGGAGTGTTCCTGATGCTGTGTTGGCCTGTATCTTTGAGGAGACGTGCCCACATTTCAGGACTAATCAAATAGGAATCATAAACATAAAACAGTGGATGGAGCAACCCAGTGTTTGTTTTGTATCTGTAGAAAGCAGGGTGGTCACCATACCTGTGGAAAGAAACAGGTACACTTCACGTGCTAAGAAATAATCAAACTTAAACAAAAAAATGTAATTAAGGGCAGCCAAGTTTGCCTGCAATATGAATCACATGCAACCTATCTCATGAACCACACACATTTCCCTATTACATTAATCAGTCAGAAACTTGGAAACGAGAAACTGGTAGATCATACAGAAGGTCAGGACAATATTTTATTTCCCTGGCACTCCAATTCCCTGATTTTGCATCCCATAGAATACACCCACCCAAATACATTTAATTTACTACCCAAGCTAAAAAATAGAAATTCTGGCACCGATTCCACATCACTCAGATTGAAAGGAGTTCTTAGCTCATAGTCCACCGTTGGTAGATTTAAAAAATGAAAACTGCTGGCAAAATGATGAGTTTTGCTCTTTTGAAATGGACATACTGTAAGAATAAAAGACTAGTACACAATAAGTATAGTATATAATAATTATAATACATTTTTGCAGTAAACAGGCAGCTGAGAAGACCTTGATTGCAGTTCTCATACTGACAAAAATATTTTAAGAGTTAGAACAATGGATATTGTTTTCCCACATTTAAACTCCTAAAGGAGAAGTAGTTTTCAGAAGTCAGGCTTTTAAATGGGACTGCCCACAGCTGCACTGTAGCTCATCCACCATCAATTCTCTAAAGCTGTGGCTCTCCAGCAGGCAGTGGTTGTCATTATTTGCCATTATTTCCCTGCTGTGGGAAGAATGTGACCTGAGGTCTTTTACCCAGAGAGCACTCAATCCTGGACCCGAGACCCTGAGTGTGCGGATATCTAGGCGGAGTTCTGTTAACCCATAACCATAAACCAATAACAAACCTGACACCAGAGAGCATAACCCAAGGTTCTTTTAAACATAAACCTCATACGACAAAACACAACCACCCCGAGAACATACCCACCAACATATACCATAACCTTCACCTGTAACCAGATATAAACGATAACATTAGCCCGTAACAGTGTTGTATAACCACGTAGACAGATCTATCTCCCATTATTCCATAACCATTAACCACCAGGTGTTTTCTCTTTCATATACAACTAGATGTTTTTTAGAAAATAGCCCCCTTGGGGATTATTACTAACCATGTGTACTCCACTCCTTTCCCCAGGCAAGAGCCACTACTTCCCCCCAGCCTGAGGGCTTACCCACTATTGGATCCTCACAAACACTTACAGACTCCAAGTTCACGGTAACTCTCTTAGCTACCTCACTGCATAAAGTGGATTTACCCACTGAATGAGCATTTTTCCTTCTTGGTACCAGGTTACACAAAAGATGTTGCAGCTCTGTAATCCATCCAGAGAAGAGTACCTAGATACTGTACATTCAGGGCTTAAGGGAACAAACTTTTCAGCATTGAACAGAGAAGACTGAGGGGACAAGATACAAATATTCAAGGTCCTCAATGGCATTAGGGATAAGATCACTTTATTGGCCATACACAATTTCTTGTGATAGGAATTTATCTTTATTCGCATACTCCAGCTTGCTCTCCATGAGACACAGAGGCACATGGATGAGGCAAGAGAAGCTTCGAGCCAGAGTGCAGGGTCAGCCATTTATACGGCGCCCCTGAAGCAGTTGGGGTTAAGGACCTTGCTCAGGAGCCCAACGGAGTAGGATTCCTCTGCCGGCCGCGGGATATGAGCCGGCAACCTTCCAGCCACAGGTGCACATCCTTAGCCACAGAGACCCAAGTCAACCCTGTGGATTTCTTCAAAATAAAAACACTGAAGCATGAGGGGCAAGTGGAATCTATGTGGAACTAACTGCATTTAAAATAGAGAACAGGAGGATCTTCTTTACCCAAAGAAAAAGGGGAGTACGGAACAAACAACCCAACTATGTTGTTGAAGCCAATACCCTGGTTTCTTTCAAGAAATGCATACAGGAAATCCTTGGATCAAGTAACTAACTACTAACAGTCTAATGGACTGGATGGGTTGAATGGTCTCCTCTTATTTGTAAGCTTTCTTATGTTTTTACGTCTTCTGAAAATCTAAATTTACTCTACTGGATGAACAGTGTATGTATATCTAGTGCTGCTAATGCTTGTTCAAAGATGTCTAACAACTTAAATAAGACCTACCTTTTCTAAATCTATATCAGCTATCCCTTAGAATTATATTTCCATACAGATGATCCTCTAGTTGAACTCTTATTATTGTTTCTATAACCTTACATGTAATAGAAGTAAGATTTATTGATCTACATTGACTTGGTACAGCTTAATCACCCATTTTTATTGACGGGAGCTACATAAGCAGTTTTCCAGTCAGTGGATATTACCCGTCTTGAGAGACTGCTGAGTTTGCACTCCAGAAAAACTGAATACCACCAGGACACAGAGATATGTTTGTCTTCTATGCTCATATTATTTAATATAGAACTAAAACATGTTGTTGATTTCTATCTCGGAAAACACCTAAGTGAAACATTCACTTAAAACATCGGACATTTTCCTTTCACAGTCTAGATGTTTTGTTATATTATCCCTGAGATTCTTTACTTTATCCTTTACATTTGTCTAAACAGCTAAACATTTTCTTTTGACCTTTCTTATATCCCTATCACTTGTATTTGGAACTCATTAAATAGATTTTTAACTAGTCCATTTTGTTTTTGATCATTTATAAAGTGCTCTATTTCTCCTTATATTTGTCTTAATTGATTGATTAAGCCATCTTGAATGTTTGAATAGATTAGACAACTATAAGCATTCCCTCAAGCTGGAACATTGACTGTCTGAAAAAAAAACTGCCATTACAGTTTCTTCTGCTGACATTCCCAAGTTTTCCCAGTTCAAATTAAAATTTCCAATGAAAACAACCCCTAACCTCATTATGCAAATTTGCATTACAATTTATATTATACAATATAGTATCAAAGATATTCTTAACATTATGTAAATCAAGATGGAATAAACAGTATATACTTTCTGCTATGTGGCTATATGCTTTGTGGCTGGGACTAAATTGTTTAATTTGATAACTGATGAGAGTTATCAACAGGGATATATACAGTAACTGAACTACAGCTAATGTAAAGTCACCAACAAGTGTGAATATGTTTGCAAAAGAGAAATTATGGTTGATGACTTTCTGCAAATGAATGTTTTATCACTTTTGCTATTTCCTGCACTTGTTATTTTTATTTTTGTATTCAATAAACGCTTCTATTTTAATAACTCTACAGTTATTTTATTACATGCCTCCTACGGTTGACTGCATTTGTTTGATTTGCATCTTATTTAGCTTTAAGCTATTGGTTACTAGTACTTTCTAGATTAAATGAAGTATTACATTGCTTGTTGCTGCTGACTTTCACTCAAGTGGACAGATTCATGTACATGTAACCCATTAGGGTGGGAGACAACATGTACCCATCATTTTAGAAAGCTGCAAACAAAAAGCTTTGCTTTGATCAATTAGAAAAATGAAAATACAGTTACTCTTAAGTAGTCTACTACAACTAACTCAGTTTTGGAATTAAGGAGCAAGTAATAGGTTTATTCCATGCTGAAAAGATAAGAGAAAAAACCTGAGTTTTCAACTGAGTGTTTTGTCTCTTCTCTCTTCAGCATGGAATAAACCTGTTACTTGTTCCTGTGCAGACTACGCACGCTGACGCAGATACCCACCTGAACTAGTTTGGGAATTATGTACCCATGACTACAAAGTCCAAATTAAATTAAATTGAAAACTCTTACATAATTAAAAAAGAACAAGAGGAAAGCAGACAAAAGGCACTCACTTCTCTACAATGTACTTAATGTTGTTGAACATGCTCAGGTCATCTCGTCCTTTATATGGCTCAATGTGAAAGGTGACCTGTGAAAACAGACATTACAAGCAGCAGGTACTGTAGATTGATTTCTGTTCAGGAATACAAACGTGTTAACAAGTACAAGTATTAAACTGAAGGGGAATGAAAAATATTTTTCTCTTCTCTTATTTCTCTGTACATTGTACTTACAAACCTACTACGATAGTATATGTAAACTGTAGAACACTGTGCCAAACAAAGTGTTTTAATACACTTTACATTGCTTTATTCCACTTATTGAAATAGGATAATTTTCAACCACTACAACCTAGTACATTTAGCAAATTGCTACAATGGCTAAAACCTTCATTTAGAAATTTGTTCAAAATGATCAAAGATAAAAATATACTCTCCTTTACAATCTTGCTTACATCCTACCCTTGAGCACACCGATAAAATGATAAACCTACAGTCTTGTAGAATTAACATTTAAGGAAAAAAGTAAAGAATGCAGATTTTAACTGTCTATGGATTTATTTTTAAATAGCAGGTTCATGAAGACATACCTTCACTTGATATTTATGAGCAATATCCATGATGAGAAGCACCAGCTCATCAGTGGGCTCACCATTGTCATCCTTCATGCCAGGTGGATACCAAGACAGGGCCAGGACACCTATAAAATGTAAACTTTAGGATAAGGAGATACATACAATGTGGGGAGGTATCAGATTACAAAGCTTGGTAAAGGTAAAGGTAGGTTATTACTAACTTACCTTAAACCCTGTATTACTATGAACTTTAAACCCTGTAATCTTATTCCTTTTCCTTTCAAAATTCACCAAGTAGGACTGACTATATAACTTTGAGATTATATAGTTTGCCTGTGACAAAACAAATACATTATTAATTAAGCACCTACTCCGTGCCTTTAGTTGTATTTTAATATAAGTTAAATATAGGCATTTAGTAGTTTTCACCGTTGTTCTAGTCTATAGAAACAAAGGTTTTTCAGACGTTTTTCAGTACTGCTTTGTGTTTGATATGACAAATCAAATCAAAGTTTATTTATCAAATGCACAACAATATGGCGTGCAGCAGTAGTTGCTGGCAATGAAATTTCTTTTTCTGCGAGCTCACAAAAATTACAAGAATCACAAAAATCACAAAATTGAGGTTACATTTTTTAAATTGAATAAAACTCAATGTGAATAGAGCTGTTATGTGTCCATGGTGTATGCAATATATACATGTAGTGCAGTTATGCTGAATATAGTGAGAATTGTGTGTCCATGTAGCCATTACAGGTGATTTGCTAAGGAGCTACAGGTTGGCTATTTTACAGTAACTATTAAAAACATAATCCACATGATTTTTTTAGCCTTTTTAGTTTTGTAATTCCAAGATTAATACGATGTGGGCCATCAGGAAATAAGGAGAACAGCAAACCAGAACAGTTTGCACTTGACTGAAATGACATCCTACAAAAAAAAGAGACCATATTTCTGATGGGTGTAAAAATAAGTACTGGGGCTACAGGGTTCACAGACCATGACTTCAGAAACATAAGGGTTCTGGATCATTCAGGGATAGACAATGATCATTAATGCTAGAAAAAATGTATTGGTCATAGGTTGTATTTAAATAGTTTAGTTTTAATGTCATTTTTTACCTGGGTCACTGTTTGTATACTGATCATCAAACGAAACATGTCACAAATAAAAAAAGTTATTCTGCAACAGTTGTTTTGACATTTTACTCAATAAGGGTAAGACAGGTAAATTCACTATGCTGATCATCCACAGGACTGATAAACCGGGAGTCTACTGTGAGAGTGGACTAGAAGTCTGCTGGAAGTAACACAAACTATACAGTACATGTGCGACTCATACTTTGTGTCACATTGCAGATGCTGTCTTGTGGAATTCTGTCCCTTTCCTCTTGTATAGACTGGATAAGCGTGTGCTTATTCTCTATGTCCGATATCTCATCCTAGCTCATCCCACAAATGTTCTAAATGTTTCAAGGTTGGTAAGGAGGGCATTCTCAGCATAACTGTCAGACTTTTACCTAGTTACATGAACAGAATGAAGACAAGCGTTTTCCTACTGGAACTTTTTCACTTCAGGGTGAGCCTGCAGGAAGTGCAGCAAGTAAGGTTCCAGGACCTGATGAATGAAGTGCAATAGAGTCAGGCACACTTCACTAGAAATATGGCACAGATTGCCCAAACCATCACATCCCTAAGCATCGTATCCTGCACACCCACCAAGTCTATCAGAGTGGTCTACACAAAATCTTAATTCACCAACACACCACTAGCATTAACGTATATTTAACTACTCCATTTTACAGGACGATCCCTCCATCGGTACCCTTTTTTCCGACCGCCCAATCATCTCTTTATCACCGACCACCCAATCTACGTAAACTTCTGGTTCACAGCTCCCTTGACTGCACTCGGCAATCATCCCCAGCAGGCACCTTCCCCTGCAACAGAACTCGCTGCATCACCTGCAAATACATATCTAACAACACGCTCATTCAGGGCCACACAGGTCAATTCTGGATTACCCAGATGACATCCTGTACCTCCAGCAACCTTATTTACTGTATTTTCTGCAACAAAATGCCCAGCTATCTTTGCTGGGGAAACCGGACGGAGACTAGAAGACTGCTTCAGAGAACGTGTTCTGGCTGTGAAGATTAAAGACTTCTCCAAGCCCATAGTTTCTCATTTCACCTCAGATGGCTATGATCACACTGATCTCTCTGTTCTCAAAAAAGGGTTTCTCAACTCCCATAGCAAAAAGACAACAGAAACTAAACTCATCCTGAAACTAGGTTCACACCATCCCCCTTCTCTCAATGACCGACTTATTTTCGTGTAGTCTTCTCTATTTTCATGCAAGTTTTTTCTTCACCCCTCTCCACTTTCCACTTCCTGAGTAGCCTCTTTGCCCCTCCTGCCTCCTCCCCTCTCCCAGCTTTTGTTCTTCTGTGCTATTTAATCTTTGCTGTCTGCCCTGTCTTTCTCACACCTGAAGAAGGCTTCACAGCCGAAACAATGCATTTCCTTTTCTATTCATATTGATATTCATGATGGCACCAGACTTCTGTAAAGAGGACTGGTAAATGCTTATGGCTGACTACATCTTGTTACAATGAGCACTGTCATAAGATTTATTAAAATATCACTCTAGCATACATTTTGCTGAGTCTTCCTCATGTTACAAACTTTGAATTACTCCAAATTCACCTGTACAAAAGCATACAGACCAGGTGGAAACACCTGGTGCACACTCACAACAGGGTGTAGTTGTACATCCTGCTACTATTTGCATTAAAGGCAAAATGATGTACAAGCTGTCAGCCAGCACATCAGTAATATTTAAACTGGAAATAGGCAATAATCTTTTGTGAGAAACGCAGAAAATACAAAAATTCCTAACATAATCCATTATGCTGCTTACAAGTCAAGTACAGCAGACTGCAGATTTCTTTCAAAGTCATATAATATAAAATGGTTTACAAAACTGATGCAGACTTCCCAAACTACATGCACATACATAATCATATCATCATTGAATAAAACTCTTAATGTGGCTCAGAAATCAAAACTTTAATCTGAAATCCTGTCACTACTTTTTTAAACATGAATAATATACACATCAATTATAAAACAACAGATAAAAAAACAACAAATCGACTAGAATAATCATGTAACTACATTAAGTTCCTAAACCAAGAACAAAGCAGAGACTTTTAAAGATCCAGAGATGGTTATCAAAATAGAAATTGACAGAAAATAAACTGTAGATATTCAGAACATCTGGAATATGCAGCAGCATTCACTTAGCTCACTTGTCTTCATTAATAAAACTGTGCAATGCGTCATTCTGTTTAAACCATCTGCTACTTCCTTTTCCCAGCATACCTGATCCTCATAATCTTTAGTGCTAAAATTAAAAAGGTGGTAACTTAATTTAAGTGATCCAACATTTCTTTAAGTAGTTGGATGCTTTAAGGTATTAATGGTTCAAATATAATAGTATACTGCTACTGTACATCAACACAAACTATCCTGAAGGCAATGTTGTACTGTCTGCACATCCTGTACATCCAAAACCCAGTGAAATTAAAAACAGCGGTATCACAGTGCCCTCTACTGAATTTAATTTAATTTCATGATATTTGTGCAGCATCAGCAACAAAAGGATACATACAAAATGAATGCAGTTTAGTACTATTCAAAATTATTCAAATTGCATTGAGCAATCCAAAAAATGTAAATAAACGAATGGAAGAACATGATTGTGAACATAGTAAAGGTCTTTATATGTAAGACATCATGGGCCATGCAGAATACAAGGTAAATCTGGAGAATGACAATGGTTGTCACCTCTGTATTTCTCAGTGTCATCTTTCCACAGTCTGTGAAAACAGCAAACACAAAATGTTGGAGGAAGCACTTCTTGAATATGGACATTTGTATTTTAACATCAAAGAACATAGTAATGCTAGAACACCAAAAGACTATTCTTGCGGATTGATTTTTGTTCTCTTTTCAACAAACTACAAAACCCCTTTATTCATCTCAGCAGGGTCTGGGAACATGAAACAGCACAATAAACCCCTTCTGTCTGCTCTGGGAGCTGACAAGAGCCTGCATTCACAGAAACACATGGTAGAGGGAAATAACTTGTATTGCTGTGCACAGAAAAGTATCAATTCAGGCTCAGAAGCTTTTACAATGTCATAAAACTGAATTACACCACATAAAGTAAATGGAGACAGGTAAAACAAAATACAGAAAAAGCCTGCTGTTGTTCTTAACATTTACATTCAAGAGGTAAGCTATGATTGCAGCAAAATACCAAAACTATTTAAATTGAACAGGTTAAATAACAGTAAAACCCACGCAGTTCTTTCATATCCTCTGATGGCCTTGATCAAGGCATCACGAAAAGGTGTTTTAACATGTTTTTCAGGACCTTTTGAATTAATCAACCAGTAAAGACACCTGGCCATGTGTAAGCTGAGCTCTCAGCTCACAGGTTTGAGTCTAGGCTATGTCACAGCCGACGGGGATTCCCCCAAGTGGAGGCAGGAATAGAGTAGGGTGGGATGTGTTGGGAAAGTCTCTATGGGTCTCTTCAGTGACTCCTGTGGCGTTCTGTTGATGTCATGTTCAAAGACCACCAAATGGGAGTAGACTGTTCGCACTTCCTCTCTCCTGTGTGCGGTTGTGGGGTTTGTAGCTATATACTAAGATATAAAAAAACACACCGCACTGGGTATTTTAAATGAAGTTGATATAGCAAAAAATAACAGGCAATTCTATTTAAAAAAAGGTTAGTGGATTGCAAGCCTGTCAGTTTTAACCATCCCCGTAAATGCAGTACAAACGTTTAAGAACTAAGAAGGGAAATCTTACCTACTGCTGCTGTTCTAAGTTGGAGCACATGTGCTTCAATAACAGAAGGATCTCTAGAACTGTAGGCACCTAGTTCAGGGTAGAAGTTGGACCCAATGTCATCTGGAGGACTGTGTCTTCCTCTTGGAAAACTGGATGCTACTTTGGAGTCCCAGTGGGGCAGAAGTGGGTGATCCCAATGAATATATTTGCCATCAAACTGTGGATTGCCATACCAGTTATAATAGAACACATGGAGATTGTAATTTGGTACAGGTAAATCTTCGGGTTTGGCTTCAAAATGCATGCCACCTCTTGCTGTATTTTTATGGATATTAGTTGAACCACCTCTTGTAGCTGCAGTGTCTTCTTGAATGTGTATTTGAGTTTTGCCGCTTTCTAATCTACTAAGCTGTGGAAAAAGTCCAAGTCCAAAAGGGTTCCCAAAGCTAGTACCTTCTGGCCTCAAGGATTTCAGAAAAATCATTATTAAAAATGTACACAAGATTAAACCAATCAATGTAATACATGTCTTTCTTCGAAACCTTGCCATTTTTCAGTAATATTGCAAAACAAAAAACTATTTTAGTGTAAATGAAGACTTTTACATTTTATTGCAGTCAGGCATTAAGTATAGCAATTTAATATGACAATTTTACTTCCCCTCTTCTTTTTTGCTGGAACGATGACACACATTTCTTCAAACTCACAGATGTCCTGTTGACAACAACAACAAAAAAACAGATTTAGTTTCCATTGCAGAGACAAGTGGGAGGAAGAGAAAGACAAGACACAGAGAAATCAGTGCTAGAAGCTCAAACAAAGCTGTTTAATTATTCCCAAGACAAAAAGTGTTTGGGCAATCAAAAAAAAACTTAAACCACAAAGAAACTGATTCCTTCCAATCTCAATTGATAAAAGGGTAGAAATGTATCCATTAGAGCTTTAGCCTTTTACAACAAAACTTTACATAACGTGTAGACAATTATGACATTTGTGATAAACCTGTGTAAAAAATATTACTAGTCTGCATATCCGTTTGGAATGGAAATGGCAATGCTGTCCTGCTGGGCTTCAGTTTCTTTCTGTCCTCATACAAGCCCTCTTGTATGCTGCTGTCAGAGCGAGGATGTTCACTATTTACTGCATTTGACCCATTGTGTATATATATTGCGCATGTCGTGTGGCTTGTTACCTTGCAGTGGGAAAGTATAAGAAGCCAGACAGCTTTAAAAAAAATGGGAAAAAAGAGACCTTGAGGTACTCTTCACAGACTTTGAAAGAAACCTGTTTTATGTCCCTGTGCCCTTCAGGTGTCTTTTTAATAAAGACCCGTAATATACAGTGCAGTCCAAAAGTATTTGGACAGTGACACAATTTTTGTTGTTTTGGCTCTGTCCTCCAACACATTGGATTTGAAATGAAACAATGACTATGAGGCTAAAGTGTCGAATGTCAGCTTTAATGCAAGGGTATTTAAATCTATATTGGGCGAACCATATAGGAATCAGAGCCGTTTTTATACATAGTCTTCCCATTTTAAGGGACCAAAAGTAATTGGACAATTGACTGCTCAGTTATTTCTTGGCCAGCTGTGCGTCATTGCACGGTTAGTTCATTAACAAGAGAGCTAACAAAAGGTCTAGAGTTGATTCTAGATGTGGCATTTGCTTCTGGAGTCTGTTGCTGTTGTCTCTCAACATGAGGACCAAAGAAGTGTCAATAACAGTAAACCGGGCCATCATGAGGCTGAAAAAGCTGAATAAATCAAACAGAGACATAGCCAAAACATTAAGTGTGTCTAAATCAACTGTTTGGCACATGGTTAAGAAGCAAGAATGCACTGGTGAGCTTAGCAATAGCAAACGACCTGGTAGACCACAGTAGTGGATGACCGAACAATACTTTCAATCATGAAGATAAAAACCTTTTTCGACTGTTGAACAGATCAAGAACACTCTTCAGGATGCAGGCATGGATGTGTCAAAGACTACCATGAAAAGAAGAATACACCAGCATAACCTCAGAGGGTTCACCACCAGATGCAAATCACTGGTAAGTCTTGAGAACAGAAAGGCCAGGTTAGAGTTTGCTAAAAAGTACATATAAAAGCCTGTAGAGTTCTGGGACATATGGACAAATGAGACGAAGGTTAACCTGTACCAGAGTGATGGAAAGAGGAAAGTGTGGAGAAAAAAAGGTACTGCTCATGATAAAAAAGCATACAGTACCACCTCATCTGTGAAACATGGTGGAGTTGGTGTCATGGTTTGGGCATGTATGGCTGCCAGTGGAACTGGCTCACTTGTCCTCATTGATGATGTGACTGCCGAAGGCAGCAGCAGGGTGAATCCTGAAGTGTACAGAAGCATCTTATCTGCTCAGATCAAATCAAATGCCTCAAACTCACTGGACGGTGCTTCACCTTGCAGCAGGACAATGACCCCAAACATACTGCTAAAGCAACTATGGAGTTTTTCAGGGCCAAAAAGTGGAATGTTCTTGACGGGCCAAGTCAATCACCGGACCTGAATCCCATTGAGAATGCATTTCACTAACTGAAGACAAGACTGAAGACAAGCAAAAAGTCCTCGAAACAAGCAGGAACTGAACATGGCTGAATTGCAGGCCTGACAGAGCATCACCAGGAAAGATACCCAGTGTCTGGTGATGTCTATGGGTCGCAAACGTCAGGCAGTCATCGACTGCAAAGTATTTGCAACCATGGACTACACATGACAATTTTATTTAAGATTCTGTTAATGTTTCCAGTTACTTATGGTCTCCTGAAATGTGGGGACCACAGTATATATAAAAAGGGTTGTGATTCCCATATGCTTCACCCAATATAGACGTAAATACCCTCGAATTAAAGCCGACATTCTGCACTTTGGCCTCATAGTCATTATTTCATTGCAAATCCAACGTGCTGGAGTACAGAGCCAAAACAACACAAACTGTGTCACTGCCCAAATACATACGGACTGCAATGTAAATTAACTACGCATGCCAGAGTTAGAGGGGGTAACAATAAGAACATAAGAAAGGATACAAATGAGAAGAGGCCCTTCAGCCTGCCTGGCCCATTTGTTAGTTTTTAATTCATCCAAGGATCTCATCCCTCTGTTTTTATAATGAAAGCAGGGTCTTAGATTCAACAGCTTTCTCCTGGTAACTTCTCACATTCCCCTAATGATTTAGGTTGTTCTGTTCTCAGTATTAAAGGCACATCCACACATTTTCCTCTTATGCCCTCCCATTCATGTATCACTGATCATTCAGAAGAAATGTGCTTGGTTGACGTAGTCAATGCTATTGAGGATTGTGAAGGTTTTTGATTTTTTTAATACCAGTTCCCTTCATAGTGTTTTCTGGACAAGACTAAAGAAGCTCAATTCGTGAGCCTATTTGTGTATGACATACCCTTACACCACAGAACAGGTGTCCAGACTGAATTGGGGTTGGACGCAGTGAATAGAATTAAATAACCTTTCCACCTTTGCCCATTCAGTTCTCACTAATAAAGCAGTTTAGAGCTTAAGCAGCGGTCAAATTAACTTGATTATATCATAATCACAAAGGATTTATTAAAAAAAACCATAACATTCTATTTTGCTCTAGAAATAAACCAGCATAAATAGACCAATAAGCTTCTTATGATGCAGTATATATTTATACCCGAGTGCAGTAATACAATTTTGTAAACCAGGCTAATTAATTTTTAATTCAAATTTCAATGACTAGCTGCTTGCATTATAAGAACTAATTGCAGAGAAAAACACTAATTGCTGTAAATCAGATTTGATAAAATCTATAAGACAGTATAATATACAGAGGTAACATGAGTGTTTGATAAAATACACATGGTTGTTAAAACATGCTCAAATTGTTTCTCATCCTCGCGGCACCAGAAAGGTCATCAAAATATCCCCCTTATAAGCATATTGGAAAGTATTTTATTTTGAAAGTACAACATGTATTCAAATTAGCATATTTTTTCAGTGTTAATTCCTCCAATAGTATGTACAATATGGAAAATTATTTAAACAATAAAAACAATGTATATTATACATTATGATTTAATATATACACATTATGCAATTTATTACTACATAGTAGTAGTTACTATGGGCATTGCCGACTTGCAATGTGAAACTATCAAACACAAGATCACAAGTTCCTTCTACTCTTGTTTAGCATTGCTGAGATGTCCGGGGATGACACACTCCACCGGAAACATAACCGCATGTGAACAGTGCGGCTCAATCATATATTTGCAGACACAGAGGGTAAAGAGACCGCGGCCACAGAGAACAGCGCATGTACAGTACAGTACTGTGCTACTGTATATCTGCTGCAAACCTGCTGGCAAAACGAGCTCGTTTAACTTTCTTACAACTACACATACTGCAAGACGCGCTCAGACCGCAAAATCGTACGTAAGGTTAACTCAACCACTTCTCGCAATAAAATCACTTTTCAGTACATACAGTACAGTATACGCTATAATGGATATATATGCCAAGTCCCTGAAACAGACCTAACGCACGGTTTCAGTACCTTTCACAAACAGGAATCCAAACAGCCCCACAGCAGCACCTGCGTGATGTTCACGTTTAGGGAGGGGAATACTTCTCTACCCGCCCCACTTGCTTTTGCGATGTCGGGAAATGCAGTTCAGTCAGAGCCGGGCTACCCTGCACCTCCTGCACAAAGCAACTACAACAACCAGATCCCAGCGCGAAAACAGCGCAGCGGCAAAGCGTCGTGCTAAAGGGCGATTGTCAAGTACCCACACTGTGTTTAATGTGTTGGAAGTGAGGCACACCATCCGGGCTCGGGAGTTAAAAATTAGGGCTTACAGGACTGGATATTGATAAGCTCTTGTGGTTGAATTTGCATAAAGTTTAACTGAGCAGTTACGGCTAGTAGTTTTGTTTTAATTGGGGCTGAACGGCCTCTCCGCTAATTCTGACCAGTGAAGAGGGCGTACAGTATCACTATAGTCACTATGAAATATAGACCAGGGGTTATAGCGAATGATATAATGTTAAAACATCGTAAAAACACATACTGTACGTGCTTCTTAAACTGTAATGTACTGTAGTCACTTGCATTTACACAGTATGTATGTCTGCATAAGCACTGTACATTAAAAATACGCATCTTTTCTAATGCTTGATTTACAAGCTGCTCTGACAGCCGAGTAAAAAGCTTAATCTGCTCGTTTAACCAGGGTATTTAAATAGTCTGATATACATACGTATATATAATACACTGTCCAAGTAAAAATCCTTGTATTTGTGTAGTGCTGTGCATTCTGACGGATCCCGATGCGTTTTACATACAGGAAGGAGCCCACAGCGCAACGTGCCACGGGAGGGCAGCACCGTCCTGTGATTCAAGGGAGCCATTACCCACTAACAGCCCCCCTGCACAAGATCAGGTGAGCAAGCGAGACAGGAGTTCACCAGTGTCATCAAGAGAGGAGTTAGTTAATCTGTATACAGTTACCAGATAGTTGTTGCTGCAGTTATTATCGTACAGTACTCTAAGGCCGAGCAAAGGGCTAGTAAAGTCCTTAAACCTTAGTGATTTTTGATGTCATAGATTTGATAGACAGTTGAAGGGATTAGAAAACGAATAGGAGTTATGCTGTATCTTGGCCTTTCACAGAAATACAATGTGTAATTTTGGATATTGATTGCTATCAATATTACTTTACATAGGGCTTTGCAAGTTAAAAGCAGTACCAAATCTAACGCTCCAGCTCTCTTTAGCCATTAAAGTGCAACCATTAAAATTATTCAATTTTAAATATAAAGGTTTTTCTAACCCTAACCCAAACTTGGCATTAGACATTACCTCTTTCATCACTACACATGAACACCATGTCCAGTTTGACTCTCAGAGTGGTCTAAAATGGAAACAACAATAGACAATTTAACTGCAAATCACCAACAACAATCAAAAACCAATAAAAATCAACAATTTTTATTCTGTTTACACATTGTAAAATAATTGTTTCTGTAGTTATTGGGTTACATTTACACAGTACTGTATGTCCAAATGTCCAAACGATGAATGTTAAAGTTAGAATTTACTTCAAATCTAGCTGTTTTTTTAAAATGTTTTAGCTATGTTTTATAAAAGAGCACCAAAAATAATAGGACTCTCCATCCTATTTTGAAATGTAATTTTGGATATTGATTGCTCTTAGTATTACACAGGGCCTTTTATAAAATGCCACCCACTTAAATGAATGAAAAGGTTTTCTCATTTTGCCGTTTAATGCATAACTGTTGGTATCAAAGTCAGTGTAAGTATCAGTCAATCAAAGTATATAGATTAAAGGATAAATCAGACTTTAATAGGTATTCCAACCCTAAGCCTAAATCAGCATTAGACCCTAGCCCTTTCAATTCTTCTTTAAAAAATAGTTCTGAACACAAACATCTAAAAAAATATTGAAACTGCAGTTGCAAAACAGTACAGAATGAGAAGACTCTCATCCTTATCAGATGATATTTGCAGTTCTGTTTTCTAAAAACATTTTTCATGTTGTCGATAAAAATAAAAAAATGTGGGGGCACCTCAGACAAAAAAAACTAGCTACAGTAGAAGATGCTCAAGAAAATTGTAGACTGTGCAACCATAAAATGCTACAATGTAATGAGAGTGGAAGTGAGTGTAATGAAGTGAGTGTAATGAATTTTAATGAATTAGAACAAAATGTTTTTTTTGTTTTCATTCCTTCCCCTCCAAATTTAGGTCGGCATAAGTATTCAGCTAAATTAACTTAAATTTCATTAAAACTAGTGTAAAGTTAGTATTTGCTTGTGTATCCCTTACATGCAATGACTGCTACAAGTCTGGGACCCATCAATATCATTTAGACTCTTGATATGTTCCATTGAGCTGTCTCAAGCCTTAACTGAGGCCACTTTCAGCTGTCGCTTGTTTTTGTGGAGTTTCCTGATTTTAGTTTCTTCTTCAATAAGTACAATGCATGCTCAATACCCTTCAAATCAGGAGATTGGTATGGCCAGTTCGGATGTTTCCACTCCTTCTTCCTGATGAACTCCTTGGTTAAGTGTGCGGTATGTTTTAGGGTGAATTTTGGCCCAGTGAGTTTGGAGACATTTTCTTGGACATAGGCAGCCAAGATGATTCTGTACACTTCAAGTATTCATTCTGATGCTGCCATCATCAGTTCCATCACCAATAGAAACCATTGTGCCAGTTCCAGATGTAGCCATGCATGCCCAGGCCACAAAGCTGCAGTGTACGGTACATCCACTGTGCTCCACCGATGAGGTGGTGTGCTTTTCACCTTCAGTTGCCCTCTACACTTTTGCCTTTCCATCACATTGATAAAATGTTATCTTTATCCTGTCTATCCATAAAACTGTTCCACAACTGCTGTGACTTATCTTTGTACTTTCTTGCAAATTCGAATCTTGTAATTATGTTTTTACTGCTGATGAGAGGTATACATCTTGCAGTGCAGCCCTTGTCATTCTTCTGTTCCATTGTTCTGTGTACAGTGATGCTTTTAACCTGCATCCTACAGATTGTCTTTGATGTCTTTTGACTGTTACTACAGGATTTTTCTTCAGTTTCCTTTGTATCACCTCATCTTTGCCGATTGCTGTTTCTTTGTTTTCAAGACATTCCTTATTTGGGATTTTTCTCATCTTCACAATTGCTTGCTTTTCTTGCATAGGCAAGTCTATGTTTTCACAGATACTGTAATGCAACAGGGAACAATGAGCAATTAGAAACACTCGTTAGCCATTTGTCCCAATACTAATGCTCATCTGAAATGAAGGGATTTAACGCAACAAATAACATTGTTCTTAAATGCAAATGAATACCCAGAAACAAAAGCTGAAATTCAATACTTTCCCCTCATTAATCTTTTAATCAAAAGTACAAATTTAATAAGTACACCATAAATATTACACATTTCTCTTCACTGCCCCAGTACTTACACTTTTCAGTTTATAACGTTTCTGCACCAATGTCAATTTACAAGGTGTTCAAATTTGTTATTCTAATAATAGTTCAAATAAAATTCCTGCCTATTTAAGAATTATCTGCATTCAATACATAATGAAATCAAAAGTAAATTAAAAAGGGTATTGAAATACCGTGAAACGTGTAACAATAAACATACTGTACTGTATATTCAAGTAGGTTATGGCCAAGAGCTGTAGATGTTTGTCTGTAAAATTAAAATGAGCATTTTCTAAGATATGAAAAAAGCAAATCATTGTGCAGTGATAAACAGAAGCTTTATGTTTAATGTGTCTTGCATACCTTTACATCTTATTGGTACAGGTCTTAAGTGCCTATTTTTCTGAATGATATACTGGAACTGAAGGCAAACCTACTGGACTGTGTGTAACCTACCTTAATGTTTCTAAGTGGTATACAACTGTGATTGTCTACCACATTGTTGTTGTTCCTAAAATGATATACAGTGTAAGCGTGTTACTGTATCAAAGTCCTACCCCTGAAGCTGGTGTGCTGTAGTCGTTGCAGTTATAAATGTTCTGTGATTCAAAGGGAAGTGGAGGCGAATTCCATATGGGTTGTAGTTTCATGTTGATTGCTAGGCCACTGTAATTTTATGTGTTCAGTCTATGTACTGTAGCAGTAATGTTAAATTCCATTAGCTGATTATGCTGCAATGTTTTCTTGTTGAACAATAAAGACCATAGAAAAAATTGGTTTCTTTTTCCCATTCTCATGTTTCTGAAATACTTGGAACTTGGCAAGTATTGGATAAATGGATAAATGAAATATTGAATATAAATTTAGCTCCAAAATATGTCCATTTCATTTTGTGTTTTTTATTTCTTAAATATACTGTATCATCTTGAGGCAGTGCACGTCAGAAGAGCTTCAGCATTATGACCATGCTGTGTCCTGCCCGATGTGTCACCAAGAACTCAAAGCATTCATGGAACTAAAATACACCAGTTGGGGCTTAATTTCCTAGCAGGTACTGTGGAGCTTAAATTGGGCTTGTAAAGAAGGATTGCCGATTCCACAGATGACTAGATAGAGCATTAATCTTAACTGTGACAAGACTGAAGTCATGCTTATTGGTACCCCCCATCAACTTCGTAAAGCCAGTCCTGTAACCCTGTCTGTAGATGGCTCTGTACTTGAGCTTCAATCAAAATTGAAAAACCTTGGGGTTATATTCGATTCTGGCTTAACATTTGACCCACATGTACAGCATACTGTCAAAACATCTTTTTTTCACCTTAGAAATATTGCAAGACTACGCCCTATGCTATCATTAATTGTGGCTGAAAAGCTGATCAACATATTTGTATTCTCTTGAATTGACTACTGCAATGCTCTACTCCCTGGGGTATCTAAATCTACTCTGAACAAGCTGCAGTATGTCAGTTAAACAGTGAATAAGTGGGCTATTTGGCTACTCTTTAGAATTTGCAGGTTCATAAGCAAGATATATTTTTTTTACAGCAGGTGTGGTGTCCAACAAACTTTAGAGTCTGCTGTATTATGCTAGACTTGCATTTGGTGCACTTTTCGAGGTTAGGGGTTACACCTCTGTGTTTTAGCACTTTCTGGAATTTCTTTTTCGGAGAGCCATCTCGCACAAGAGAAATGCAGACTAAAGAGAAACTCAAAAGTGATGTCTTAGCAAAGCTAAATACAAGTTTGTTCAGTCTTGCTCACCTGGGATTCCATTAGTAGTATAACATCAAAAAGGAATGGAACTATTTTGTACTTTGGCTAAATTATTTTCAGATGTTTGTGAAATGGTTATAATACCACCATAAACGTATCTGTTTTTATTTTTTACAAGTGATTTATAGGGTACAGATATCCTGGTGGTTTACTGTAAAAGTCAACATGTGCACTTCTCTGGCTTTCAAAGCTATCAGCAGAAACAGTTGATGGAAGATCAATGTCTTGCTGAGCTGTAGGGGGTCTGAGAGACATTCTTTAAAAGGAATCTTCTGGTTAACCTGGTTAATTGCCTTCTTGGTAAATCATTAAGAGCCGTCAACAGTTTAGAAACACAAGATAAAAGACAGGTAGATAGATCCAGAGGAAGACATGCAAATAGAGAAGAAGTAGCAGGGACAGATAGAGGAGAAGAAATAGAAACAGAAGATTCTAGCTATTAGAGCTTTGTTTAAGGGAGTTTGCCATCTGTTATTTTAGGAAACTCTAATTTCCCTTAGAAGAAATTCCAAGGCTAAAGACGTTCTCTCCAGGTGAGCGATGCGTTTCTAGAATAAGGAGATAGGGCCCCATTCACTTTGGACCATCTGGATTTGGAAGAAGTGAGAATTCGCTCAAGGTTGTATTCCTCTTTTTTTACTGACCTATTAGGCATTATATAGGATTTCCTATACTGTATTTATAGTTTTTAATACTAGGTTAGCAGTCTGGGGT